AAAAAAAAAAAAAAAGAATAAAGAAATAACTATCTTATTCACATTTTAGGGAGATAGTCATATGATCTCTAAATCTATGTCACCTTTGAATTGGTCCATATAGGGAAAATATTTTTAGGACTATTTTGCTATAACTCCACCTAAGTAGAACTTGAAAAATGTGGTAAAGACTAAGTAGGGTGGATCTGTGTGCTGGGAAAGGGCATTGTAAAGAATGACATCTCTGTGCCAAAAAGTCATTAACCAACCTTCCTGGTCTGTAATGAAAATAAGGAAGCATGATACATACTCCCTGACTTCAAGGTGCTTAAGCAAGATACAGACAAATGAAACAGTTAGAAAATATTCAGGCTCGGCGCCTGTGGCTCAAGTGGCTAAGGTGCCAGCCACATACACCTAAAGGTGGCGGGTTCGAATCCAGCCCAGGCCAGCAAAACATCAATGACAGCTGCAACCAAAAAATAGCCAGGCGTTGTGGCAGGCACCTATGGTCCCAGCTACTTGGGAGGCTGAAGCAGAAGACTCGCTTGAGCCCAGGAGTTGGAGGTTGCTGTGAGCGATGATGCTACGGCACTCTACCCAGGGGGATAGCTTGAGGCTCTGTCTTAAGAAAAAAAAAAAAGAAAATATTCAAGTATTGAGACATTACACTATGCTATATAGTGTGCAAAAGTTCAGAGAAGGGAAAAATCTGTGGAAGCTTGAAAAAATTTGATTGAAAAAGTAGCACTTTATCTTAACACAAAGATGAAGGAAAATGTAAGTAGGTGGAAAAATGCAAAAGTGCATGTAAAAGATAATAATCAAAATCTCAAAGGCAGAAATGAGCACAATACTTGGGAAACTCAATGAAAAAATAGCCTCACCAGACTTGTAATTTCAAGACAGTGAAAATTACTGTGGCTGGATAGGTAAAATAGGCCTGATTTAAAAGCAGGCTTTGAAACTGGTAGAATAGTTAGGACGTTACGCCACAGGAAACAGTAAGCCATGCCAGAGTCCTAAGCAGGCAAATGATAGAAAAAGAACTTAAGAAGAATTTAAGAGTGGGTATGGTCCCCTTCTTTTTTTTTTTTTTTTTTTTGAGACAGAGCCTCAAGCTATCCCCCTGGGTAGAGTGCCGTGGCATCATAGCTCACAGCGAGTCTCCTGCCTCAGCCTCCCAAGTAGCTGGGACCACAGGCGCCCACCACCCCGGCTATTTTTTGGTTGCAGCCATCATTGTTGTTTTTGGCAGGCCCGGGCTGGATTCGAACCCGCCACCTTAGGTGTATGTGGCTGGCACCTTAGCCACTTGAGCCACAGGCACTGAGCCAGTCCCCTTCTTAAGTCACTTCCACACTTGTTCCACTTACCTCTTTGGGCAGTTCAAGTGATGTGTTAAATGCACTTGGGGTCCATTGCTCAGAGATACTGACTTTGACATTGCTAAATGTTTTTCTTGAAGCATGGAGCAAAGAATAACTGTAAAACAGAAGAAATACAACTGAAGAGGAACAAAGAAAGCAGTATTCAATAAAATTATAGAAATGTGCCCTATTTGTTTTATTCAATTCTACAATTTTTCTTTTAAAAAATGTACTGCTTGGCTCAGCAACCATCGCACAGTGGTTATAGCTCCAGCCACAGGCACTAAGGCTAGTGGGTGGAACCCAACCAGGGCCTGCTAAACAACAATGACAACTGCAACAACCAAAAAAAACAGCCAGGCATTGTGGCAGGTGCCTGTAGTCCCAGCTACTTGGAAGGCTGAGGCAAGACAATAATTTAAGCCCAGGAGTTTGAGGTTGCTGTGAGCTATAATACC